CTGCCCACTGCAAAAAGGGCCAGCACCAATTCCAATGGTCGGAATTTGAAGGGCCTTAGTAGTTGCAGCTGCTACCGGAGCAGGCACACACTCCAACACAACCGAAAAGCACCCAGCTTCTTGCAATGCCATTGCAGTCTCCACAACCTGAACCATATCCCTAACGACAATTAGCTTATCGAAAATGCCAAAGGTAAATTTTTATAAATAACAAAAAAAAAAACTGACCTTAACAGCACTAGCAACTGTTCTCCCTTGAGGTCTAAACCCCCCAAGGACACTAATAGCCTGCGGAGTAAGGCCAACATGCCCCATTACAGCAATCCCTGCCTCAACAATAGCCTTGGCCGCTGTAATCCTTGACGGAGCTCCTCCTTCCAGCTTAATTGCATCCATTCCGCCTTCTTTCAAAACCCTAACCTGTACCGCCTGCCTGCCCAAAAGGCCATCAAAAACAATCCTCAAAAACTCACTCCCCAATTAAAGATAAAGAAATTTCCCAATCACGAGGAAACTAGGGCACACACCCAATTTAAAACAAACAAGATTGGAACTTTTCCCCGGAAAGCACAGCAAGATGGAAACTTTAACCTAACCTGAGACGAGGAGGCCTCGTAGGAGCCAAACGAGAGATCCCCAACGAGCAGAGGGCGGGTAGCGCCGCGGGCAACGGCACGGCAGTGAACGAGCATCTCGTCGAGGGAGATGGGGAGAGTGGTGTCGTGGCCGTGGACTCCCCAACGAGGCAGATGTCGATGCCGGCGGCGTCGAGGTGGACGGCGGCGGGGTAGTCGTAGGCGGTGACCATGGTGATGGGTTCGCCGTGCTTGTGTTTATTGTGGAGGTGAGCCAGGGTTACGCGGGGGAATTGGGGTTTTGGGCCGCCGTAGACTGTGTTTTCTGGAATGTTGCTCAAGAGACGACGAGCTATCCGCAGCATTTTTTCCCCCCGTCCTCTGCTGATGCTGCTGTCGTCGGAGAAGGAAGTTGACAGTCGCTGGATCTTGCTGACAGGATTTTAAGGGATGGGTTTTAAGGGATGCTGACGGATTGCATTCAGGTGGGCCCATAAGATCCACTTCGGCCCATTTTGTTATATTTTCTCATCAAAACATCATGCTGCTCAAGAAGAAGAAAAAAGTACGTATTGCTTTAGCTCGATTCAAGTATTTCACTTGGGAGGTTGAAGTGTTTATTGGACGTACAATTGTGCAGGCTTTTTAAAATCCTACTAGGTGGAATGCACGTACAATGCTCGAGGTCAAATATTATAATTGTTGATTTTTAGTTTATAGATTTACTATAACATAATTGCAGCAAAGTTTATGATTATCATAATATATTAAAAGTTTCAGATATTTCAATATATAAAATCTTGTTGGTTTCAACATTTTACCTTCCACATAATTAGTGAGGTTTAAAGTCTTAAAATATTAATGATCTAAGAGCAATTTAATGATTTGAAATTCTAATTTTAAAATATTAATGATGTGAGCATTAATATCTAAAAAACTATTATTATTATTAATAAAATGAAATCTTAGATTCATCAACGTAAAATGGTACGTTTTATCTGGTCATAGAGGATTTTGTTTAATTATAAAAAAATCATTCGCACCTATTGTCTACTTCCACTTTCTATAATCTGGCAACCGAGTATTGTAGATATTCAAAAACTTTTTTCTAGAATTTTTATAGTTAGAATGTGCAAATACAATCAAGAAAGAAAGTATAAATTATGTGATCAATTTCAAAATCTGATATTATAATCTTACTACATCTTCTCAACTAATTAATTAATTTGTCAAAACGGTTACTCTCTAATTTCAAAAAACTATAAAATATAAAACATATTTTGTACACATATGGATTGTATTGTCCTAAAATAATTTAGATCTATCCAATATTGAATAATACCCAAAATTTTAGGTTAAAGAGTTAAAAGAATCTAATAACACTCATATCCAAACCATATGCTTCATAAAGGTGAGACATATAAAATGAACAACTTAATTTATTTTGTTAAATAATTTATTACAAATCATAAAAGATAAAGAGAACCATAAGGATCACATAGCCATCCTAAATTAAAGATTAAATTTCTCTCTGTGAATTTTGTAGCAAAAGATGTTGAGAGATACTAATAGACTTGCTATAAAATCCACTTTTATAATATTAATGTCACATGTGTCTTAAATTATGCTTTGTTTAAGGACTAATTTTAGAAAACTTCCCCTCAACTATGGGAAAAATGTTAACCCCCCCCCCCCCCCCCCCAA